ATTCTGTGTATTTTTCGTAAATTTTTGTGTTTTTTGTCATAATTTTTGTGTAAATGTTGTGATTTTATGTTTGCTGGCGAAAAATATGGCGAGCATTATTTTAATGTTTAAAAACAATATTTTTGTGTTTTTTTTTTTTTTTTTTTTCATTTTTTTCGTTTATTTATATTTAATTTAATTTCATTCTCAAAAAGCCAAACAACAACAAAAATACCTAAATATTTTTTCCTTTGTCTCTTTTTTCGTCTTTTTTCCTATTTTATTGACATTATTTCCTTTGCCAACCAAAAAAAAAAAACAAATATTTGCCTCCTCCAAAATATGAAACAAAAAATATCTAGACCCTGAAACTACAACTGACAAATCACCGGCTTCACCAACACGGCGGAAATTACCTAAGACTCCGGTATAAATTAGTTCCGCATTCACAATTTTTATTTCTAGTCTTATCTCTACACTCACAACACACTCTAACACACACATACACCCATACACACAATCACACTCTATAACATATGTGTATTTTCATACAATAACAAAGCTAAAATGTAGACGAGAATTTATCCGGAAAATGTGAAACTAAAGAAAATTAATCAATTTTCTACAATAAATTAATATTCTTAAATACAAGTTGATCCTTTTGACTTCCGGTGATTGAAATTCATAAGAATTGAAATGTGAGAACTTCAATAGACAAAAAATTAATTTGTTTTTCGTAGTAAAAAAAAAACAACAACAACAAATAGAAACAATAAGTTATTCAAACGAAGGTAGTGAAATATTTTAAAGTTTTTGTAACCAAACAAAAAAATTAAATCAAATGAAATAAACAAAAAAAAAAGAGAATTGAAATAGAAAAACCCCTTAACAATGCAACATTTTTCTTTTCATTTCATTGATTTGCTTTTTTAATTTTCTTTTTTTCCAAATTCTTGACTTATCAACTTTCGTTTCGTAAAGCAACACTAAAATCTCCAAATGATTTTGTTTTTCAGTTTCTAATTTTTAATAACTTTTTTTATTTTTCTCAATTTGTAAGCTTTGAATAGTCTATTCAATTTTAATAACTTTACACATTATTCTTAACAAATACAAAAAACATATTCATATATATTATATATTCAATTAATGTCAGTAGATCAGTTATTTGATATAAACGTAATATTTTCTTCAAACAATAATTCAGTTTTTATTTTATCGTAAAAAACTTGTTTTTTTTTTCCTTACTGTTATATTCAGCATAGCAACGTCACATTCCAAATTACCAGTATTGGAACAAATACAAATTTTTTCTGTTATAAAAAAAAATATTTAATTTCCTTAGTAGTTATAATCTTTAATTGGATCATACCATAATTCAAACTTTATATTTATTTTATTTGGAAATAAAAATAGGCACAATGTAACGTTTCTTAAAATATACTTAGACAATGGCAAAGGGTGACTGCGACATGTTTAGGCCTCATTTATAAAATCGTTTGGCATGTAATTTTTAATATCGAAATTCAAATGTTTAGGATACCGAAAATAATATTTTTGGCCAATATCTATAAAATATCCGCTAAACTAAACCATTTTTTGGATGTGAAATATTCAACTCAATTTGTTTTAAGCCAAATAGGTAGCTTCATCTTAAATGCGGTCAAAATAATTTTGAACCAATCCGGTATTTGGAAACCGGTGTTTCTGATTTTTCCGATGGAAAGTCCTTCGACCATTTTACAATACCTTAATTTTGATGGAATTCGATAATAGACAATAACTAAACCAAAAAAAAATTTTAGGGTTGAATAAGTCTATTTTTGTACATTTCTAGGGAAACAGGGAATAGGTTTAGAACAAATAAATAAAACAAAATTGGCTAAAATCCTCAAAAGACCAAGTATCTTAAGCTTAAAAATACCAAGTATCTTAGCTTCAAAATACCAATACGTGGATCTGATGAGCAATTTTCTTTCGTAGATGGTATCCATTACGAACTTAAGATATCAAATTTAAAACAATATGATTTAAGTATAGGGCTAATTTTTAACCTTGGCTATAAGTTAAGGTTAATTTTTATATCGGCTATAGGAAGGCATGGGCACATACAGAAACTTTGCTGTCAGAGAACGTAGTGCCCTACATCAATTCGATTATATATTGGAAATCATCAGATATAGGAAGGAACATTTCTGTGAAGGCTATAACATACCATTTTCAATCCCATACAATTTCAGGCATAACATGCATTTGCGCTATCTGGTGGTGAGATATATAATAAATTTTTGTCGCATCTGGTATGGTTTATTATCAAAAGACGTATGCCATACGCTACTTTTGAACACATAATCCATCCATCTGTGGCTTCTGCAGTTTTTCTCTTTTTGAGCCAAATTCTCTCATTCGAAGTCGAAAAATTTCGATCGAAATGAATTTTTATATTTTAATCGCAGGTTGATTAAATGAAAATTTCTGTAGAAACGAATTGACTGAATGTTTTCGTTTTAAAAATTTCAAATGAGCGTACAGAAATTCATATCGATCGAATTTGTTCGATATCGAACGGACACACACATCAAAAAATAACATCATTTGTTGCGCTTGATTTCACTCTTATAGTACTCCTTACTCTTTTTCAAACATTTCGATCGCCTCTCAATTATTTCTAACAGGAGTAATTCGTGTGCGCTCACACGCGCTCTCTCCAAGAACTCCCACTCTGGAGAAAAAAAAACATAAAATCTGAGCACTGTTTTGAAATAAACTTCTTTTTTTCAATTTGTGCGGAAACTATTGCCATTGAATATTGTATCAAAAGGTTCTTAAAGTATTAAATTTAAGTTCGTGTATTTTTTATTTCTTTTTGAAAGATCCCTTATCTGGAATATCGAATTAAAAACAAGTAAGCAAAGGCTATGGTCATGCGGGGCCGACCATGTGATACCCTACAACAATATAATATGTTGAAAGGCCCCTTTTGTCCAAATCCATTTGGAAGATTTCGTTTTTGATATGGCGTTAACCTTAGCTTTTTGACCGAGCCATTTCCTGAATAGTTACGCACTCCGTCGTGTAAAAAATAAGTCAATGGCCATCCAAATGCTACACTTCTTCCATGTACTTAACCCTCCTCTCATTCAAAATTCCGTGTAGATTAGTTTTTAATTGTTTCCTGTAGAGCAACTGCAAATCAGAAATATTTTAGTTTTTTGGTCCATTTGAACCCCTAAATGTACATCTTCAAACATAATAGGCTTTAATTCTGACCCTAATCCCATGCAAAAATTTCACGAGCTTCGCACGATAATTGCGACCTGTATAGACCCCTCAAGTCATAGTGTTACAGGATGTAGATAATATTTAGAAATTTACAAATCAAAATTGAAAGTCAATTGAAAAAAATTGCATGCGATAAAAAATATGACACAAATTGAAAAAATGCAACAAAGGATATTCAGTTTTTTATTGTCATATTTTAACACGATTTTCTTACTATTATTAAGAAACTATTCCGAATTAAGAGAATTGTGAAAACCTTTCCAGCTGTTCTTTACTTTTAAAGTGAATAATTAATAATTTGGCCGGGTTTTAAATATATTCGCGGTTATGTGGAAATTTTCTTATTTTTTGACATAAAATTTATGGTTAATTTACCCGCTTAATATTGTCCGATTGCCACCCCAATTGGAAGGCTTTTGCCCAGCCCTGAACGCTAACTCCATGCAAATCTCCTCATCGATTGGATCATAATTGTGGCATAAAGAGCAACTGTAAAATCAGGAAAATTCGAACATCTCCAAAAACAATTGGGTACTATTCTGACCCTAACCCCACCTCCATTTTAAATTTCGTGAGGATCTGGCCTCAATTGGGACCTGTTGCGTGATTACAAATTAACATGGACAGACGGACATTCATAGGTAGATCGACTCAGCTCGGAGAGGGAGAAGTATCCATTTGTAGTTTCCTATGTCGGAAACCATTATGTCGATGTGTTACATAGTTTTTGGTCCAATTAAAAAAGTTACATTAAAAATGTACTGAGATCGGATCAGATCTATATATAAATCCCACTCATATATTCCTATATTTCTCTAAATAATTTTAATTTTGGATCATAAAGTTCAGTTTTTTAAAATTTCAGCCAAATCGACTCAGATAAAGTTAAAGCCATCATATATATGATTTGGCATTTAAGCCACTAGTGCAAAAATCCATTCAATATCAAAGGTATTCTATATAAGTGTTTTCGGCTAATATATATTGTCCGTAATCTAACTTTTTTTTCAACCAGCGATAATTTTGTGAATGGTAGCATTTAGTCCATGTCTCTTTTGAAAGATATTTTGTTTTATTGACCTCCTGAACGAACTGTGGTAACATTTCGTACGAATTTTGAAAGAGATGTATCACCGTCATCCATATACCTTAAACGATGCAGGCGGTGGTCAAGAAATACTATTGGGATTTTTAAAAAAATAAAAAAAATAAATAAATAATAAATAAAAAAAACAGTTTACGTCCCTTAACGTTACGGACTCAGCTTCAGCGAATTTTGGTAAACAAAATTTTAAGAGGAGGACATTGGAACATTGCTTTCAACACGACGGTGCTGCGTGCCACCCAGCCGAAGCTACACTCGATTTTCAAAAAAAAAAAAACTTTTTGCGGATACTTTATATTCGGCCCGGACATTTTTTTAGCCTTGCCGAATATTAAACACAGTTTATACGTGTTGGTACCAATTGCGTACTTCAAATACTAATTATACCCTACAACACTTTGTGTTGGGGTATTATATTTGATTGGGCCAAAAATTATGTAACACCTAGAAATATTGATTTTCCACATAGGAAAGTATATATGGATCTTCCTATCTCGCCGAGCTGAGTCGATCTAGCTATGTATGTCCTTCCGTCCGTCTGTCCATGTTAATTTGTAATCACTCTACAGGTCGCAATTATGGCCCGATCTTCACGAAATTTAGAATGGAGGTGGTGTTAAGGTCAGAATAGAACCCTACTTCTTTTGGAGATGATCGCATAATATTTAGGGGTCGAAATGGACCAAAAACTGAAAAAATCCTGATTTTGCAGTTGCTCTACAGGTTGCAATTATGGACCAATCGACGCGGAAATTAGCATGGGCTAAATCTTCGGGCTGGGCAGAAGCCTTCCGATTTTGATGGTCATCGGGTAATATTTAGTGGGTGAAAAAGACCATAATATTTGTGATAAATAAAAGTCAAATTTCCATTATACCGCGAATATTTTTAGTCCCGGCGAAATCATAAATAGACGAACAGGTCAATTCTGACCGTTACGTAGATGCCGATAGTAAATATATCGGATATATACAATGTGTATATACAAAGGAAGGAATGTTAGATGGAATGCTTATATCTCAAGAATGGGTGGACCGATT